AAACAAACAAAAAATTTATATGATCTATTCTAAAAAAATTATTGCCTAGAGGCGTTATGAAACCAAAAGAACTGTGGTCTCTCCAAACCAGCCGGTTGTCCTATCAAGTTCAAAAAGTGAGGGATATTCTCATATTTATCATAACTATCTAATTTTATGTAAAAGTTTGAAGAAAATAAAATAAAATAAAATTAAAATATGACAACTAGCTATTACCGATCCAAGAAGAGATTCCAGTTTCTGCCATGAGTTATTGACAGTTTGACTAATTTGGTCCAATTTGAAAAAATAGGGCGTGTTGTAAGAGGTGATGGAAATACATAATGATTGAATGAAAATTTGGATATACGGTCATAAATTCTTTCCTTGGATCCTTCTACTTTACAAGGTTTGAAGATCCATAGATTAGCAGCAAGGAAACTTATTCAAAATCTCGATAATGGAGATTTGTATCTTCATAAACATCCTAAAAATGCTGGTAAACATATTTCAAATTCGTTAGTTAAAGAACATATTATTAACCTTGCTAAAAGATATAATTTAGCTTCAAAGTATACTAGGTATTAATCATTAATATTTTGGTAATTTACGAGTAGCATCTGTGCTTATATGTAATCCTATTTTCTAGTTTTATTGCAATTGATGAAGGAAACTATGAAGTTATATCCGAGGCTCAGATTATTTTACAAAAAAGAGTTGTCCATCAAAAATGCGTAAATCCAGGTAAGAAATATAAACAAAAAAATGAATTGAAAATAAAAGTTAATATGCTAATACTTATTTTTATATTTTATAATAAAGAATCGAAAATCGAAGTTTTGTTTGAATTCTTGGGATTACAACCATTTGATGGTTTATTCTTACCTACTAAATCATTTTATGATTTTTTTGTTAAAAAGGATTTTAATGATTTCGTTAAATTAAAACGAGAAATTGAAAAGGAAACCGGAGAGGTTAAAGAATTGAAGAAATTTTATGTACTAGCATTGCTATTGCTTATCTGGAAGTTTTCATGTTTGAAAATTTTAAGGAAGAGTCAAAAATGTGTCATGAAAAGGCTGTAAATGCTTTGAAGAAAATTGTGGGTACTGAAGAGAAAGAAATCATTATCCTTGATAAAGCTAAAGAATGGATTAAATTTCAGCGGTTAAATGAAGGTGGGGGATGGGCGAGTCGTATGACTCGGATCGCATGTGCATATTTAACAAGTTTTTTTCGTAAATTATATATGTTCTTTATGTGCTTATAAATATTTAGTTATCTTTATATGTATATTTTGAAATGAATAGTAAATTCATATTTTTGTTTAACCTCATTAAATAAATTCGCATTAACGTAAATTACTGTTTGTTTTGGCAATTTAGTACCGACAACACGTGTTGTATTTAGATATATTTTTTTGTAAATATTAATTATTAAAATTATTTTTTAAGGTTAATTTTATTAAAATTTATTGCTTATCATCATTATACGAAATTTTCATATTCACTTAGGAAATTGAATCAATTTCCATTGGTTTTCTTTTTTAATAAATGCATAAAAAAATATTTTTTCAGTTTTAAAAAAAATCCATACAATGCAAATTTTGGTATAAATTTTTTTTACAAAATGTAACCACCAGAACCGAAAAATTGATTTGCGGAAAGAAATTCTCGAAAAATTCAACATTGGCAATTCTGAATAATATTATCCGAGGCTCTTTTTTTTTTTTTTTTTTTTTTTTATGGCACTCTTCGCGTGTATTCCAACTGATACGGAAAATTGAAGACATTTAATGTTATTATTATACCTGAGAAAATTTTTATATCTATAATTTATTTAATTTTTTTTTATGATGTTTAATGCATCAAATTAAAATTTTGTTATCCTATACATACATGCGAATTGTTTATGAAAATAAAAATATTTATATTATATTTTTTTTTTAAAAAGAATTATGTAAAAAAGAAATTCGGTTTTTTATCAATAACCATCATAAACGTAATCATCCGTTCCTTCGTATTCTTCATAGTCATCAATATTAAAGTCATCATCATAGTCATCATAATCGATATCATAATTTTTTGAAGAATAAGCGACTTTACTAGATTGATTTTTTTTACGTTTCTCAACTTTAGCACTTTTAGGTATTTTAACACGTTTATTGCCGGAACCACGAGTAACCTTTAACTTGTTGTGACCATCAGGAACCAATTTTGGTTTAACAAACCTTGAACTTAAAGCAGGATTAAAAGAGCGTGACTTCAAGTTTGGTAAAGGAACGAACAAGATGTCATCCTTGGGATTAGGCATGCAAAAATAACCGGAAGGTAATAAATAAAAGAAAGGAGTAACATGTTGAGGGATTGGTGTTATTGAAGATGTATGATAATCATAAATGTACATGGTAAACTTTGGTCGTGGTCGAATCAAATCTGGTTCTTTACGTTGACATACTATGAGTAGAGAATGAGGAAGGAGAGGTAATAATTGTACTATTGAACCAGTATGAGGGATTTTCTCGGAAATAATTCTATATACGAGACGAGTATATGTAACAGGATCCTTGGATAAGCCAGTCCGTTCTTCGTTTGGATTATGACCGTCAATACGGGTGTAACCGTATGAAATTTCTTGTTGCTTTTTATTGGAATTTGAATTTGTTGAATTTGGTAATAGGAGTTGCAACACGACAGGAACTTTCATGTCACCCTTCAACTTTTTCGCAGACAAAAATAACCAATCACCATTTTTAGGGAAATTCTCCTTGGTCCAAAATGAAGTATCGATCATTTTGCAAAAATTTAATCCTGTACTTATCCTCCACATTAAAGCCAACTTTGTTTTTATCTTTCCTCGACTTACAAAAGCTGAATTTCTTTTTTGTACCACCGGACGATAAATCAAGACAAGTCCTCCTGAACACGTGACCACGATCTCGGGAACTAGATCATCCGGAATCCTCGCATCGGATTGTTGTTGTTGGAAGGAAGAATAATGTTCATAAGTATCATTATTTTGATTTTTCCATCTGACCACAAAACTATGCGCTTTTGCGGGTAATAATTCAGAGTATTCAACAACATGTTTCCGATAATCAAAACCCTCATAAAAAGACGAATGATTCGCTAATTTTCTTAGGTCCAAACATTTAAATGCGTACTCATCATTCGTGTTAACGTAATTAATTATCATGAAATCATTTTTATCCAAATAATATGTAAGTATGTTAGCCTTAAAATTATTATTAGCAAATGAACCGAATGAATTTGAATGAGTTGAAATAATGGCAACATCACTTAGAATTATATTAAATTTTTTATCATCAGTCAAATCAACGATATGTTCTTGATCCTTCATAACCGATCTTGTAGTAACTTGAAATCTACCAGTTTCCGTTCTCACTATCAACAAATTATTCGATAATGACAAGTCGCATATTGGAGGGGTGTCAATATTAAAATTGCATATGGAATGTTCTCTTGCGTACGAAAATATTTTACAAGTACCCAATGCTACGTCCAAGGAATACATGTAATATTCTTTACCAAATTCCAAACGAATCATATTTTTGATCCAATTAACATTTCTACCGATATCTTCTTGAGTCACCGTCAAGCGTTGCGTATCACACAACCTAATATCATATTTATCCTCTTTATCATTAAATTTAATGATTTTCAAATATACTTCTACTTCGAGGTTTGGTACAATGCTAAAATCGGTATTGTTTAACGTTGGCTTTTCATTCAACACCCTTACTCCACCATCTACGTCATCGATTCGAATCAAAGGTCGTTGAGAGACGAATGCTATCGCTATACCATTTTCGATTATATTCGTATTTAATATATCATACATATATGAATTCGTCGAGACCCTTTCTCCAAATACTTTATATTTTTGAGGTTTTTGGGATGACGTTGGTTCTTTTATGATCGATATAACGTTATTCCATAACTTATTCTCATTAAATTCTTTGAATAGACAAATAGATTTATATGAAAGACCATTGAGGAACAAAGGATTTGTCACTTTATTATATTTAGTTTCAAACAATATTTGCCACGTATGATCGTCTATTATGGTGAAGGTTGGAAAAGTGGAAGGACGAATGATTGATTAATAAAGAAAAATGTGAAAAAATAAAATAATCATATTGGGAAAGTACGATTTACCTTGTAGGACATCATTCCATAATTTACATACGAGTCTTATTCTTAAAATATTTTTTATAGTTAACGAACAAAATATATTCAATAATAATTCATGAGTACTTAATACATTATGACTATCTTTCTCTTTCTCAATAACTATAAAACTTTCTTCTTCTTCTTCTTCTCCTTCTTCTTCAATTTCTACTATTTGAAGATTTTTCATTAAATTCTCGGTATTTACGTCCATTTTTTTTTCTTTCCTATTTTTTTTTAAAAAAAAAAATTTGAAATTAAATTTTGAAGAACCAATAAATAGAAAACGCCTTTATATATTTAATGATAAATGATTTACTACGCCAAAAATACGGAAAGGTGTTACCGAGAATAATTACTAACCTAAAATCAATTTTGTATATATGCGTTATTTTTTTTTGTGTTTACAAATCGGGTAAACAACAAATTTCATTTTACTAAATTCAGCATAAAATAATAAATATCGCCGAACGAATCAATTTTTTGATGTTGTATTTTATTTATGCATTGAAGTATCACACCATCCATTTTATTTTTTTCATTATTCAAATAATTAGCAATGAACAGGACAAATCATTAAGTAATTAATGGCTCGATTTATTTACCTTTATCATTAAACGTGATTGAAACAAATGGTGGACGGTATATGCTTGTGCGTATTTGAAAAAAAAATCCTCTTTTCTGCGCTTCTTTAGGTATTGTCGATTTTAGGTTTACAGATCGGCATTAATAATATTATTAGATTACTGCGTTCTATGACCACCATTTGTGAAATAGATAATCAAACAAACAAAAAAATCAAAAAAATCAAATCCTTTTTAAAGATGCCCATTCTGAATTATCATTGATGCAAAAATTAGTTTAGTTATTGTGATGTACGTAAATTGTGCTATAAATATATGTTCAAACTAACTTTATTAATACAAAACCAATTAATCAGTCTCGCCACCTCCTTTTTTCTAAAAAGAAACTTTGTAATTCTTTAAAAATATATGATAATGTAATTGAAAAAGAAGAAATGTTGATTGAATACGGAATATAAATTCAAGCTCGAGCTATTGTGGTTCATTTTCTTTAATGAAAAGTTTTCGAATCACATTTATTTTTAAGATTCTTCATTTATTATGAATCATATCAGGTTGAAAAAGAAAAAAAAAAGTTATTGACTGCGTCAAATTTAAAGCCTTTTCTCATTGCTTATTATTAAAACAGCTTGTGTTATGGTGTAACCGTTGGCGTATGATAAAATAAGAATCGATCAACTACCTTTCATAATATGATGAATTTTTTAACTAGTAGAACCCTTTGTTGAAATTGGCAAATAGAATGAATGTATAGGAAAATGACATGTTGGGCACATGAAAGGAAAAAGGAAATTTACTGAAGTATATTGTATTTTTTTATATTATACATTTAATTAAATTTATTTTTCATGATTTTAAAATCTACTGCACATGATACCAGTATTTACCAGAAATATTTAACGCCACGTGATTTTTGGCCGGCATTATGAAACTTGGCCGAAATCGATATATTAGATCACGTGAAAAACAAATTTTTATACATGTATATCGACAAAACTATAAAAAATACTATATAGCATACTGATAACACACGTTTCAATATTATCACAAAGAAATATTATTTATTCGTTAAAGCCGTTTGTGATAAAGGATAAGAACAAATTCATTCGTCTTTTTGGTTCAATTTGAGAAAATAATGTGAAAATGGAAAACGGGGTTTTCCGCATTATTCATATAAAATCTTGTTTGATCTTTAACTTTTCATGATCGTAAATTTAATTGTATTTAACTCAAAGTAAATCCCAGGAATATGATAATTGAATAAATTATTTCATCACATTATAAAATAATATGCAAAAAAATAATAGATAATTGATTTTGCGATAGATATTTAATAAATATTAAACATGAACACATCAAAGCATTCAATGCATCTAATTATCTAATTTTTTGTTGCATTCCGTTGTAAGCGATACTGTTGTTGATAAATTGCCTCATTGCGAGATAAAAGTTATCTAAAGGATTAAAGAATTTTTAAATCCATGATCAACGCATTTTCCGTACCAGATCTTCCATCACGTCTTTAAAAATCCAAGTTCTTATCTTGAAAAGCCCATTGTCATTTGATTTCCTTAATTTCACCTCTAAAAATAATTCATTATATGAGTTAAAGATGTAATCCAATAAATAGATCATAATAATGCTTCACATAGTAAAACATGACATCAAAATCCTTGATAAATGAGAAATTCTTGTATTGTGAATAAGTTAAAAAAAGATTAGAAAAGTAAGAATGTGCAGAAATAAACAGAAAATATTTAATCAATAGTATTACATTTTACGAAACAATAACTGTTGGATAAGTCTCCAATAGATAGACACACACTTGACAAATTAGTCATAATACAATCTAAGTCTATGGAAAAACTAATGAAGTTTTCCACATTTCGCCATAAATTCTGGATATTATGTAAAGTCACTGCATTTTATACACTGGACATTTTGGTGACTTTCTCTGGACATTCGTTTTTTCATAAAGAGAATAATGTCTCTTGTCAAAAATACGTTTGATTGGGGTTTATTGAATTTAATCATAATTGCAAATACCTAATAATTGCAACTTTATTCCCTACAATTAAATATAAATATATATAAATACTTAAGCCAAAGTCATTTAGATAATTTCAAGTTACTTGTCAAAACTGTTGCCAATCGCTATCATAATCATTATTTTTTTAATTGGTTAATAATTGAAAATTTCGCGCATATAAATTAGGGAAGCTAATGGTCACGGTTATGATCATGACCGGTCATAATCGTGATCCCGATATTACTATAAGAATTCTTTGTAAAAATCATAAAATTTACAATAATTTCTTTATTTATTATAAGTTAAAATTGTTATAAAAAATTAAAGTCCGCGATGAAATATAATATGTTTTTACAGAGCAATGTTAAAATAGTAAATTATTTAATATTTTATTTTATATTATGCTAGAAAATATAATGCAAAAAAAAAAAAATTACATCACAAGATTGCAATCTAACCATACGAATCAAAAGAGCTTTGACTCTACTTTTATATAAAGACGAAATACATCTAATTACGAAAATAATTGTGCAAAATGCTTTCTAATGCAAATGCAGCTATTCAGGCAGAATTGGCCTTTTGTTAAGAAATGGTAAATACGTTTTTAAAAAAGTAATTTCCTCAAGATAAAACGCATCTGTAGACGAATGTTACAATTAGGATTTAAAATTGTATAAAACGAATAGATCTTTAATGAATCATACTTACTTTTATTTATTTCCCTAGCTTGAGGATATTTGTCCATTAGTAAGTTCTTTAGTTCCCTCCATTGCTGAAAATTACTAACATACAATTTCAAAGTATCACGATTGGGCCTGTACCACCAATCATACAAATCTAATATCGTAAGAAAGTTAATCCTATTCTTCTGGTCAACTATATCAGTAAATATTTCAATGAACCTCGTCCCTACATTATTATTATGTCTAAGGGCAAACTTATAATAATCACCCAGATGTACAATTGTTGTTCGTAATTCATTTAATTCAGAGTTATTAACATCTATTTCTTTAATGCTTTCTGATAAACCTAAATGGTACATGACTTTAAGTATTTGAACTTTAATAACTCATATTGCACAGCACAGCGATAATATTTATTACCTTTTGACCAAAGCCAAATCTCATTAATCCAACCTTTCTTAAGAGTTCGTTTAATTGCAGGCCCATAGTCGCCATCTCTGGCGATTAATATCATTGTACCTGGAATGTTGTGAACATGAATTGTATTCATAATATAAATTAACATCTCTATAACGACTTCGTTTCCTTTAAATTTCCGGTCTTTAATGGTCACATTAAATCCATCACTCTCAAGCTTTGCCCATAAAGTATCGTTGGGAAGTGGACGTGATCCAACGATTACAGGATCAGCGCCCATAGGTCGACCATTTAAAACTGTTTTAACTAGTTTACCATAATCGAACTGAACCTGACGTTCATCTGCCTCTTTCATAAATGTATTTGAATTTTCGATAAATACGTATACAAATTCAGAAGTGCCTACTATAAGGAAAGGTTAGCAAATCAAGAACAACTATTAAGAATTTAAATAAATTACGACGCATTTACCTGTGTTAATTGGATGATCTAGAGTGTTTTGGGTCGAGTTTGGCAGCAAGAAGCAGAAAGCATAAGATTTAGTATTCGGTATTATTGGATGTAAGACAGCACAGTATAATCATTGGAACAAACCAGAAATAGGTTTCTTTAATAACCCTTTCAAGTATACAAGCTCATCGTTACTTGTTTCGCAGAGATAAAGTAATTTTTCAACATCAGCTAATCCAGAATCACCCTTGTCAGCGAGATAAATGTATAATTTGGCTTCCTCATTCTCACTTAATTTATTAGGTTCTTTGGAGAGACTATGAACCATAGCAACAATATTATTAAACGACATGCTATTTAGCTATTTATAATTTTTGCCTAACAAAATGGTTTTTTAAAAAGTTTTTTTTTTTTTTTGCAAATGTAGGATATACAGTACTTGTATATATAGAAACTAATTGTCGCACAAATTGATCTGATGAACTATAAAGAACATCTAAAAAATACAAATATATAAAGGTTAAAAGTGAATTCGGTTTCACAGAATAAACCTCTCAACTGCTTCTTTAAGAAAATATTTTTTCTTTTTGTCTTTTTTAAAAAAAATAAGGTATTGCATGTTTTAAGTATTATTAAAAGATTTATTTTTCTTGATTACACTTTTTATATAAAGCACGTTTTCTTTTCATCCGCACTCTTTTATCTATACTAACTGCTCATTTGTCTGCGAATAAATTGAAATAGACACCTCGCCTCCTCTGAACATTTGGGTTAAATATGGCAACGTACATCCATCAAGGATTATTTTTCACGGAATTGACGTAAATAATGTGGATGATTTGAAGGAGGCGGTCAAAAAAAAACTATCAAATGGGTTGGCCTATGTCGATGTAAGTTATATTATGCTACACAAATATGGCGAGGATGTTGACTTAGAACCAGATGTTATAGTGTCCAAAATACCGCTAAAACGCCGTTACTAGTTATTGCAATTGAGGAAGACGAAAATAATGGTAAATGCAGTATATAATAATTAACAAATCACCTGGTGTTAAAAGGCATTGGATATTTTGGTTGATTACATTAGCGACGGGTTTGACGGAGATAAACGAGATACGTAAGAGCTTAAACGAGCATTTGAACGAGCAAAAAGAACTCTTGATCCTAAAGCGTCAATATGAAGGTAGTCAGATCATTTTATCATCAATAAACACCGAGAAAAGGAGAAAGCTTTGTTTGCTTTACGTATTGCGGGAACAAGCTATATGGATGACCTCCAAACTGTTGGCGATAAACCTCATCCATTTGAATAACGAAGACAGTCATTCAAAACGGTACACCTAATACATAAGGGATACTTTCCTCGGATCAAATTATCTCGATGGATATTAGGTGAAGGACGTTCATGCCAACAATCAGCTCTGAAATTCTGGGGGCGCTCGTGGTACAATAGGTGTAGTGGTGTTCCCACCGCACTTCGTGTTCGGGATTTTATAACGTTACTCTTTGAGTTGAAGAAGGTAACTATTTCAAGGTCCTTCCAATTCATTCGGTCTTCACTGTATAATATTGCTTTATTATAGAAAGTTAAAGAAAACGATGAAAACCAGGCCATCGGAAAATTGATCGCTGCAAATGCGGAATAATCGAATAAACCTGTAATAATGCTTACAGACTTCTACAAGACTTACGTCTTCTACTGGATTGCTCTCTCTCAAGATCAATCTCTCAATACCGACTTTTGTTGTCAATGGCATCAAGTTTAATGACACATCAAGCTTCAACATTTTGCTGGTCCCCGATGTATGGCAACCGGATGAAATTAACCTCATATACCTCTGTTCGAAAAAAGGGCAGTTATCATCCTATGAAGTTGTAGACAATGATGATATAGCAAATCTCGATGATTTCATAGATGAAATGGATCTGTAAGAACGTGCTTCCTATGAAATCAAGAAAAATATGAGAAAATTCTTACCATTCGTACCTCAGTAATTTCGTGAATGGATGCCACCCTTTCATTAGAATAGTATTCTTTAGAAGGCTATAATATTAATGATTATATTCAATGCCGAATTCGTAGATTGACTGATTTTATTTGTAATTTCATATCATAAATGTAAGCGGCATACCTCTTTAAATAAACAATACTTTTAAAATTTCAAGCTATGAATATTTTTACTTTTTAATAAAAACAGTGATAATGTATAACTTCATTTTGAAGAACTGATTTACAAGCAAAACTCTAAAAATAAAGTTAAGGTTCATGTTATTATTACAAGTTTACAAATTTTTACTAAAATCTTAGCGGAATATGTATAAAAGATTATATTTAATACAATTCAGTTTTTTTTTTTATAAAAAATAATTTTAAAAATATAAAAATAATAATGTTAAAGCACTATTTATAACATTCTATTTTTTTAAAATTTTTTAATTAAAATTTTTTAAAGGAATACCTTTGCTAATTTTTTAGTTTTAAATGTTTATAATTTATAAATAAAATTATAATTAAAAGATTATTTGATTTATTAAGTCATTAAACTATTCTTTTTTATTGATTCTTTTATATATATTAATAGAATATTTTTAATCTAAAATATAAACTGCAAGAATTTAGTATTATCAGCTATATTATTGTACATATAAAAAAATTACAAACCTCACATAAAAATTCTTCATATACATTTTCTTAATCAAACCTAATTGTTCTATTCGTATTGTCAAAATTTTGGTTGATGTTATACAAGAAACATTTTGCATGTTATTTCTTTTATTTTTTCGACCATTGTCAACTTCAAATAAAACTATTCGGATTACATTTCGAGAAAGGCAGAAACCATATTAAAAATGTTAGAGGCAAGACAAACAATGACCAAACTAAGTCATTGCAGAACGATACTCGATTTTGAAAGAATTTGCCCAACAAATAAAGTATAAAAACATTTTTTTACTTACTTTAAAATCAATAATCTTTCGCGGTCAAAATCATTGTTATCCATGAGCATATTTAACCTTTCGTTAAACACGAGATTTTTTTTGATGCTATAATAAGCTAGGTATCGTCAATTATTCGGGTTTACTTTTTGAAATTTTCCATAATAACATGAAATTGAAGAAAAATAGGTAAAGAAAATTGGTAAAGGGGAAGTTAGAAGTAGTAGAATTATTTTTTACTGATATTATTATTATGAATAAAGTTCACGATAAAGAATCTATAATGACAGAACATGTTATTTCATATGAGCTTTGCAGTAGAATGAGATTAATAATAAGTGTTCTAATTGTTGACTTACATTTTTTTTTGTTTCGTGTTTGATTGCTTCGGGCCTCAGAGTCGATTATTATTATTATATTATATTACATTTACAACTCGGATTCTAGTGTAATATAATATTTCATAAAATTTCTCTGAGTTGTCATCTACAATATTATTTAATAATATAAACATTGTTGTCCGAATTTAGTTAGTTCAAATCAATATAATCTTTCAATTCCAAATTTCCTGTCCTTTGTCAATGTTTCTCGAGTCAATATGTCCTCTTGTCAATATTTCTCTAGAAAAAGGAGAAGATTAATATAAGATTAGATATCCCCCCTGAATTTATTGTAACGAACGTACCTGATCGTCCAGAGCGCTGACGTTAAAGCAACACTATTTACATGTTTTATTGATATTTTACCTTTACTGCTATTTTAACATGAACAATGGATGCTTAAAATTGTGTCAAAATTCTACAATAAATAGTATGATGAGGAATGATGAGTGCGTCGGAAATAGCCAAAAAAAATTTCTATGACAAATATTATACCCGATTCGCCTGTTGTTTGATTCGATTAAATTGAAAATTTTTGGCGCGTTGACATAAAGTTAAAAAGAAGAGAATGAAAAAATTTGAATGTATAGAAAGAAGGAACTAGTGAAAGTAATATTATTAAATAAAAAGAAAAGCAAATGAAAGAAGTGCCAAAATTTAGTACAGAACTAGTATTGTATGTATACATTCTTTACGTAAACCCATAATGTATTGCTTGATCTGGTTTACAAAACATTACCTTTTTAGAAAAAGGATTTAAAAAATTATTATAGCGACGGATTTACTTCTTAAAAAG